TATTTACTAATCAGGGAGTACCAGGTGACTGGGAGCAGCTCAATGACTAGCAGCTCCTTTTCTCACTGTGGCCCATTTGTGCAACACCCAATGCTTTTTCTAACAGTGCTTCTGCTATTCATCCTGTACTAACGCCAGCAGCACCAACACAGCAAGAAACTGGAATGCTTCAAAAATTGCAGATTCCCAACAAGGAAACGTACCATAGACAACCTTCAACTTCAGGGCCAAGAAGTTCGGGGACCACCACACATGCACCCTTCACTGTAGGTCTGTCACTTCTTAAAAGCAAGCCAAGATTTGGATACCCTCTTATGCGCAGATCTCCATCACAGCCCTAACTTGCCTAACAGCCAAATCCAGGTACGATGGGGTGGTAGCTACAGGGTGCAAAGTGTCCCATTTGACACTAATAGTATTCATCATCTCAGGCTCAAGAGACTGCTGATAACCAGACGGTAGAGACTTGTAGCACCTCAAGAACATTGTCACACAAGGAACTTTACTTAACAGAGGGCTGAATATGTTTTCAAGCAGCAAATGTCAACTCCACGTAGGCACACCAGACAATGTTTCTAGCCTGCTCAAGGAACGTTGCTAGTGAAAATGCATTATTACTACAATAGCACTTGTAGAAAAGCTGTAACTTTACACTGTTTTTTCAGCATTCAGCCCAACTCTTGAGCCTCTTTCTTCCTAACTTTGTAGTTAGTCCTAACCCAGGCAAACTCTCATCTATATTTATATAGCTGAAACTGAAGAGTTTTGCTAAGGATGGGATAAATCTGTGTAAGATTCGCTCCAGATATATGGAATAAAATTGTAAAAAAAAAGGCCAAAGTGATTTAGATACTGTTTTCAAGAAATAAGACATGTTGGAGCCTAAATCCCATTGATTCATAGTGACATGTAGGTCCTAAGTGCCTACATGCCCTTTTGAAACCGATGCTGAGACTCCCAAGTCGCTCTGTGTTACTGAAAGCCATACCCAAGTCCTGTTTTTTGCCCTGTGTTACTGAAAGCCATACCCGAGTCCTGTTTTTTGTCCTGTGTTTTGAATGTATAAGAATCTACCTAAGGCAAGACAAATGCAGTTCAAGGGGCATTGCTTTGGGAAAGGCTGTGGGTCCTCATCACTGGGGAGAGGAAGGAAGTAGGACTGCTTGAGAAGGTGAGTTTTATGGAAGGGATCTGAAGACAAAGGGGATGCTGCTTTGCAGAAAACAAGCTGGAGAACTTTTCAGGAATGGAAAGCATCAAGGGAAAAGGGAGTAGAAGCAGAAAGACGAATGATGTGGGCAGAGCAAAGGGAGCATGTGGGATGGCAGGGGAACAGAAGCAGAGAGGATGGGTAACAAGTCTTCTGGGCCTGTATCCAGGGTTTGCCATCAGAGAAGCCGATGCTGAAGCTGGTATGGTCAGGCCCCAGTGGCTGCCTCGCCTATCTGCTGAAAAACTACTTAGAAGGATGGCATCAAACCCATGCCTGGGAAGTGGGAAGACCTCCAGCAGGTGTACGGATCCTGGACACACATCCTGAAGCCAAGCACGAGAACTGCAGGCTCACGTCGTTCTGTTCTCACTCCCTCCATTTATATCACCGGCTCCAGAAGCCAGTACTGACCGGTGTACAGCATGGCAACATGCCTTACTTGCATCTCTCCAGCTCTAGGTGCTTCTACTCGATTAAAATGGGACTTGATTAGCTACATCGCTGCCCACAGTTACAGGTAGGGAACACCGTGGCGTTGCTGGCAGTGCTGTCCGTCCATGAAAACTTCACTTCCAGTGAGGTGAAACCGAACAAGAAAAAGGCTCCTCTTGCACTGTTCAGATCTGAGTCCAATTTGCAACCCTCAAGTGAAGCTTGAAGTTCAATGCATTTGTCCAATGTAAATGAGAACAGCTTTTCCTGGTCTGGCTCCTGCTGGGGGCGAGGATATTTTGAGAGGCCTTGGATGAGGTTTCTCTTTCCCCTTCCCCAGGACCCCTTCCTAGCAAGCACATCTCTCTCCTTGCTAACCTTCTCCGCATTCATTTTACAGTCAGGAAACGAGAGATTGGTTTGGACGAACCTACAGCTGCAAGGGAAGGGGCTGCTTGCTGGAATCCCTGGCCGGTGTTTGCAGGCAATGGTTTCTAAAAATGTGTCTCTTACCCTGGAAATGTGTCATCGCTGCCTCCCCTAGCTACTTGCCGCGGAGGGATGAAACAAGAAGAAAAACAAATCTCTGTCACCCCTCCCTCCCATTTTACCACTTATTTCCCTCACAAGTTCCCCCGCTCTGCTTGTTAGCAGGCTTTGTCTACATAGTGCATGACCTGGAGAGAAGGGTAATTCAGTGAATATGCATGTTAAACTGATTTGTCAGGCAGCAAGCTAGAGGAGTCTGCTCAGGGCAGGATGCAGTACAGTGATTTCTCATGCTAAACTGTTCGTACAGCCGAAGACCATTATAAATGAGTTCAGAAGGCTTTAAAATCTTCCCGGCTTGAACTGATCATTTTGCGTTTTCTCTGTAGCCAGGTGCAAATGGACTGGATGCTCTGCAGCTGTCATCACCTCTCGGCGCGGTTGAAGGCAGCCGACCCGAGTTAAAGCAATGCTTTGCTTTTCACGATGCACCTCCAAAGCGCCGTGCTCAGAAAGGGGTGCTGACTACTACTGCTCGCTGGAGGAGGAAAACACACAGTGCTGTAATATCTGCCTTGTAGTCCACTGGGTCGCTTGGCCTGATGATCCTTGGCGTGCAGCAGTGAGGGGCACAGCTGGTCTTGCTAGGAAAGGTCGTTAATGGCATTTCTTTAAAAAGGAGATCAAATATATCACCAGGATGTACCATGAGCCTGCCCATGTGTAGAGCACCTCATGTTAACTCTTGTGCCTCACTCCCTAGTAAGCTCCCACCCCTGATCCGTTGTTGGTGTAAATTAGAAGAGCTGAAGAAAGTGCGTCCCTCCAGGGCTGTGTAGCAGGAAACATTTGTTGCAACACTGCACTGCTAAGTTTGCATCAAGGTTGGCACACATCCTACTGCGCTATTTATAAGGGGGACATCGTAAGCATAGAAAGCCTCTGATACATGTGCACCTCTATGGGAGTAAAGCCCCCCATTTACTTCCCTGCATGTGCCTCCCACACGACACTGTCGAAACGCGACAGCGAAAGCAGAAGCCACCAGACAACTATTTCTCCTCTGGGACGAGCTGAGCTGGGGTGTGCCAGCTGTGAGGCCCTAACCCTGCCAACTCTAAGAAATATATGACAGCAATTAGGATTCTTGCTAAATTTACCGTGCCAGACACCCAGCTGGTGAAAAATCAGCCCCGTGCCACTGAAATCAATGGAGATGGCAGGATAAACTTTGGGAGAGATGGCCTGACAGATGTGTTAGGCTGAGAAATAGTCCCTCTGGGGGAAAGCAGCAAGCCCCATCACTTGGCACCTTTACAAATCTGCAGAAAAAACAGAAGGGACCAACCCAGGATTGGCAGGGCTGGGCTGGATGACTCAACAGGTCTTTTGCAACTCCAATTTTCATGGAGCAAGTCCCGAACACACCCTCATACCCACGTGTGGGCCAGACAGAGGAGAAGCCCCTGCTGGAGGACTTGCACGGACGACCACTGACACTATCGTGGTACGTACTCGCATGAGGTCTGGAAGGGTGCTGGCGTGTAGTGGGACAGTGCACTGGCCCCTCTCCCAGCCACATTCTTGTCCTTCAAAAACCTCAGTTTTAATTTAAAAAAAGAAAGACTAAAAGGTTCTGCAGCAAATTTGAAATGGTGTTCCCACCTGAGATTGCCGAGAGCCAGAAGCAATCACTCTAAGGCTGCGGTTCCCAAACTACAGGGTCACAACATCAGTGGATGGGGTCATGGGAGTGGGGGGGCTGTGGGCTGGGAGAGGACCACTTTGGGAAGCACTGCTCTAAGGGGTGGGAATGGCTCCATTCAGATCCCCGTGATGAAAGGTAGCATTGTTAACCATTTCGCTACTGATCAAAATACGAGAGAAAAGGAGAAAAGGTATCACACTCCGAAAGTCTACACGGCTGGCTAGAGAGAGCCCATGGCTCGCTGCCCAAAGATGTCAGGTGGGAAAGCTACGACCCACGGAGAGGAGGTCAAGCTTGAAGAGAGTGGATGGTCATACTCTGAACTGCTGCACAAGCTGCTGAAAGCTGAGTGAATAGGCAGAGCTTAGATGAGTCCCACCAGTCTTCGCCTCCCACTGCCTCCACCCGAATGCATGCTTCAAATCATGACGTACATCACACCACAAAGTACTCTGAATGGTGTGTTCACAGCCTGGCCGGGGAGGCTGATCCCTGCCAAGTCATACTAGATAGGAGAAATGAGCTTTACCCATCTCTTTGCCAGCAGCTGGCAGAACCGCCCACTCCACAAAGTAAGCCACCCCAGAAACACAGGAAAGGGCTGAGGATTTTTCCCTCCCAGTCTTTTTGCACTCAGTTTTCTCCGGTTTGGGCTGCACTCCAGTCTGCAGGACTTGTTCCTGGAGACTGATGCTTGCATCATTTGCAGCTTATCAACATTTTGCTTTACAAAACCACCCCTGTATTTCTGGAAATATCTAGACAGGCTAGGGTGCTGATAATGCAACATTTATAATGCGCTAGTGGGCAGTTTGATCTAGCAAACAGCATGCAACATTCCTCCAATGGACAGCCCCAGCAAGGAGGAAAATGCAGGAGCTAAACAGACCACATGAGCCCCCATAGGTCCCTTCAAACCCGAAGGGCTTGATTACCACACGGGAGAGCATCACATCATTAAACGCCTCCAGCTGTTCAGTAATATGTTCTTATATCTCAGGCATTTGTCCTATTTCTTTAACCAAAACACAAGAAACTCCAGCAGTGGTTTTCAAGCGAGTTACTTCATGGGCGGTCTGACAGCCACCCTCCATGCTCTTTATTTACAACTCAGAGAGCCTAAAGCAACCCAGAAAAAACAACAGAAAGTTACTCCACCTGGCACTTGCCATGAACGCAGAGGTCTGTCTCGTAAGGCCCGCAGGGCGTGCCATCCAAAACCCTGTCGGCCACCAGCACGGGGGACTCCTTTTCCAGCGGAGAGCAGAAAAGTTCACACGGCTTATCTGAAAAAATATACAAGAGCAGCACCTTACTCCACCGCACCCATGACGCACAGACAGAGCACTAGGACATTTGATGGACTGAATCACGGGTGGCACTTGTTATTTTCCAACAATTGTGTTATTTTCAAACTGAAAGAATCATTTATTTTATAAGACTCCACTGAGTAGTAACATCGAACAGTGTCCATTAAGAACTGCTAGGGACAGGTCTAATTACGGGATTGTTCTCATTATAAGTCTACCCCTTTCTTTATTCCACAAGAACCATGAAAATCGCACTTGGTTTATAAGTGAGGTCAACCTGCAATTGGGCCCCTGACAGCCTTGCCTTTTATACCTATACTACTTTGGTTAGTGCAAAAACACTTTTTCATTGCAGTTTTTATTTCAGTATTTTTAGTGCATTTAGCCCTTTGGGTCCTTTCTTTGGTTACTGGATTCCCTTGCGGGAGTCTGGAAAGGCAACAGCCACTGAAAGGTCTTTATCAGTAGTTATCAACTTTTTGCAAGGAAAAAGGTGTTTTTCCCTGCAACTGAACCTGATTTATATACAAGGGCAACCTATAATCGGAACAGTGCAGTATATGCACCTCTGCAATCAGGGACCATGCTATTCCTTCCTGTCTCTGGTTTTTCCCTGAGAATCAGGATCAGTGTCAGCAGGTATTTATTATTTTGGGGCTCTCGGGGAATGGCTGCTTTAATTCTCCCTGCAAGAGTGCCTCTGCCTTTTAGCTGAATGCCCATCATGCTCGAATTTGCCGATAACTCTGGCGGTGCCAGTCCGAGAGGGATGCTCAGAAGCTACTTCTACTCACTCAGTCCCAGGGTTTTTTTAGAATACCTGCTACCCCCCAGCGGGTCCATACAGGAAACACATGGAGAAGAAATAGTCTAACTGGAAAAGGAGGATGTAAGTAAGCAGAAGGCCCAGAGAACCAAACTACAGTAGGAGGAAAGGAATTGGGACGGCTTTCTTTAAATGGCTGTAATTCTCTCGATCATAATCTAGACGTATATAGGGCAAAAAAGGCTCACATGACCAGGCTGGCTGCTCACACTTCTCAGAAGCAATGCTGATGTGGCACCGGGAGCAGAAAGACAAGAGGAGCATGAAAACATCAGCCCAGCATGAAGGGTTTAAGTTTCCCAAAAGCTAGTCTGGAAATGTCACCTAACGGATATTTCTGTTGATTTGGTGGGATCCGTGTTCACGTCAATGAGAGGCACTGGGATTTTGCAAGCAAGAGGTGTCTCTTTAAAAAAGGGAAGCCAAAAGCGTTTTCTGACAGCCCAGAAATGCAACAGTGATGGCAACGATGCTGTCGCAGACGGGACAGTGATGATGGGATCTCAGTGAAGTCAACGTTTAAAGCACAAGGAACGGCCTATCTCCAAAAGGGTTGTAAGGAGTGCGCATTGGACTTGCGGTCTTTGGGAAGTGATGAGTTGGAGCTCTTTAGGAGGCTCAGACAGCCTAGAGATGGGCCACACAAACAGATGTTACCAGTACTTTCCTTCCATGAAAACAGATTCTGAAATGTTTGGGGGGGGGGGGGGGGGGGG